GGGGGGGGGGGGGGGGAACGGTTTCATATTGTTTCTGCCGTCGTTTGTCGATTGCAAGTAGCAGCTCATCCGCTTCGATACGGGCTAAGTAGTAGGTGTTTCTCTCCGGCCTTGTGTCCGGCCACTTCTTACCCAGGAAGTAGAAAAGGTCTGGGTGCTGTGGGAGTGATCTCCGACACGGCTGTTTAGTTTTTTTTGCGTTGTTTGCTCGTTGGCGGTTGTCTTTGCACGAAGCAATGGTCTCGAGGTAGAATTATATACATACGTGTTGCATGACTTGGATGATGGTGTTGTGCATCGAAAACTGTGTCGATTTAGTCACGAAGACATAAGGTAATGGCTGCTGCTGGGTGAACAATGCTCGTCCAGTTGGCCACACAGCGAGCGCGTTCCAAACAAACAAATCTTCTTGAATGTTTAAAGTGGACTCATTTTTTGCTCTTGTTTATGTGTTGTGTTCGGCTCACAATTACATGTGTTGTTTTTGTTGCTGTTTAGCTCTGTAGTCCACAAAAATGGGGACCCCGTGGTGTGTATACCTCATGCGTACAAACACCAAAAGACGGAGGTGGGGACCGGGGCGAGAACTACGAGTTGTGGGATTATATATACACAAGAAAACATAGTGGGTTGGGTCTTACTCAAAGAGACAAGACAACCCTGAACAAGGTGTGGTCCTGTCTGCCCTCTCTTTCGCCATGCCTGATGACAAGAACCACGGCAACTGACGAGTACACAATGAATGAAGGCGAGAGGGCGAAGAAGACTCTGTCGTGTCAGACGCGTTTTTTCTCTTCTCTGTTCTCCACCGGTTGTTGTCATTGACTGATCAATCTGAGACAGACAGACGTCGCCACAACAGTTTCAAAATAAGAGATTCTGACATCAAAATAAAAGTACGCCCATCGTGACACCCATCTGGCTGTCTGCCCATCTGCCGCCTCTTTGTCTTGTTTGCTCCGTTACTCCCATGCCCTGGTGCGTAGTGCCTGGTGCTGGTACGTTACCCTTTGATTTTTTCTTTCGGGTAATACTTATGTATGGTAAGCGTCCTCCTTTATTTTTTGTTTTGTTTTATTTTGATCGGTTTCCGAGGGCTCTTTTCTCGAACGGTCGGTGCGGTACCTGTTCTTTTCTTTTTATCATATTGTTTTGTTTTTTTCATAATGTCACACAACAAATCCATCTCTATCTATAGAAATAAGTATAAGATAGATTAGCAATGATTCCATAGCGTGAGCGAAAGGCTACCTGTATGTCTACGGTTTCCCAGACAGCACACAACGATAACTCCCCTGGCGCCTTCCGCGCTAGAGTGTCGAGCGGTCCAGTTGATGATGTTCCCCGAAGACTAAAGCTCCAAAAAGTGTGTCAGGGTGCTTTGGCGGGGTGTAGGCCCAGTTGCGCGGGTTAAATTGAGTACCCGACGTCGGGATGTTGAGGTTTCAGCGATATGTAGTGTTTTATACTACAGAATGTATGAAAAAAAACGGGGATGGGCCTAAAACGTCCCCGCCCTTTGGAAGAACGGCGATAAAACGTGTTTTTAAGGCCATTTTCAAGCTCGTTTTTTTAAGCTATTTGATGCGTACAACCGCGGAGATTGACCACAAATACCCTGTGTGACATATGTGGACATTTATTTCACCGACGTGCTTGAAAATAATGTATGTTGTGCGTAATATATAAAGAAAAAGACAGCAAACCGTGAAAATAATAGCCACAGACGCCGGCAAATATTTGTTTTCTCCTGCTGGAGACCTTTCTTTGATATCCCAAACCGCCAAAGGGAGACGACCTGCCGCTGCATATGAACAGAAACATGCAACAAACAGCACACAGCAACAAAAAAAGTACAACAACTGCAACAAAATTACCCCCAAAAACAAAAGAACATGGAAGAGAACAAGGAGCCAAACACGAGAACATGACGTGCACCACGGACACCCCTCAATTCCCTACACCACAAGACGCCCGAGTAACCTTGTGCTTGCCCGACACAGCCTTCACCATACCCACCATCCCCGCGTACTTCTTGGCCGGGACGCAGTCGTCGTAAGCTCCAACACTACACTTCGAGCAGTAGCACGACGCCTGGCGAACGCGTAGCTTGTATCGCTTCGTGACAGCCGGAAGCGTCAGAACGGTTGATTCGTCCGCCTGCCATCTCTGCGGGTTAGCTACAACCTCTTTCTCGCCACCTACGAGGGGAACCCCGTTCTCTGTCTGCACCTCTACGCCTACGCCCGAGCTCTCCTCCTCCTGGACCTCCGCTCCCATGAACTGGTACAGCTTGGAACTCCCAGAGATGCCCGTCAAATCTACGAACGGGCGAGGGATCTCTCGGTGTCCAAGAAGCTTGATGTGCAACCTCTTGATCCGGTAGGGGGACCAGCTTGCTGCCACTTTGCTAGCTCGTGGTGATGAATGTACTGAGGGACGACAAGCGAACGGGGGGAAAGGGGGGGCGGGGCAGGAAAACATAATTATAAGCCGCGCGATTAATTGTGTTGATGCACGATTGACTACATGCCTCCAGCATTATATGATGCCCATTCCACATGCGGTTCCTTACTTCACCTTCTTCGAGTGCTCCACAAACTCCTTCCACAGGTCGTCCAGTTTTCCGGCCTGGGGTATCTGCTGCTTCTTGTGCACCTTCCCATCCTCCATGACTTGATCCTCGAATCGAAGCCACCCGACTACTCTGTCCGCCATAGACCCCAGGGCATCGCAGTTCATGGGGATGCCACCTGGGTTGCCAAACCCGCATTCGGAGCATTCTATCGCAACGCATGAGGGCTTCCTCCCCCAGTGCTCAAACCTACCCCCTCGGTCCTCCTCAAGAAAGTCTACCTTCAAGCCAAAGCCTCTGAAAAGCTATGCAGATATTTACACATGGCCATCCACTTTCCACACCCACTCCCCCCGTCGCACCACTTGCACGTGCAGTCACAGTTGGCATGCATTGCAGGCATCAACATCTCGAAGGCCTTCAGGTACAGCCCCTGCTGCGTGTGGATCTGGCATGCACACTGCGATACCTTGGGTTCCACTGTGACACACCAGAAGCGAACA